TTTAAGTTTAGTAAGTTTTAAAATATGTAAACTGCTTTATAATAAAGTTTCTTATTTTCTTTAATGTTAAATTAATTTCAATCGCCAAGCACTCTTTGTCCTTGTGAAAATTAATAGCTTCGACCCAAATGTTTTATATTGAGATTTCAATTTTCAAATTCCAGTTTTACTCAAGCTTTTATTGCCAATAACAAAACTAAACATTTATTCTATTTATAAGAATTTCTAATTTAAATTTATATTATAAATTATACATTTTTAAACTTATATTTTATTATATTTCTTTAAATCTAAATTAAATGTCTTATTACGGTTTACTATCGTATTATAAATTTATTAAAATTAATATAGGAGTATGAGCAAGTTTTCAAAAAAAAATGTTAGATGTACTCATTCTAAAGATCTGCTTGCTTAATTTAAATTCCACTTTAGTAATTGGAATTGCCAATTCCCTATTCATATGATTTATCCTTTTAATTATACATACTTTACTTTAACTTATTAAAATCATTAACAATCAGATGTGAATAAAGTAAAAATTCATATTTATACATTGAGGGCCTTGTGAAAATCAAATATAGCTTTTTGAGATATTGAATTTTGCAAATTATATATCATTAATATTTTAAATTCATGTGTCAAGGACTTAATATCACAAAAAAAAAATGACAATTTTAGGAATTAAGAGTAATTTGTTCCAGTCATCAATAACAAAATTAAAATATATAATATAAATGATATTCTATATTTTCATGATTTTTAACAATAATCAATTTTATTTTTATTCTTTATAATTGTTTAATATCAAACTTCCCTTTGATTTGAATAATTATTTTAGATTTACACCTGAATAATTTACAAATTCTCCTTTCAATATTAATGCTCCTTATAGCTTCCAGAGTTGGATTTTGACATATTCTGAGTATTGTATGATCAATATCAACTAGAATAATATTAATAAATACCATTTTATAAAATAGATTAACAATCAAATTAGGTTTTATATTAGCCTGACTTTACATCCCATAAACGGATAGATTTATCATCACTACCAGATGCTAATGTAGTACCATCAGGGGAGAAGCAAACTGTATTTATCCAGCCTACATGACCTTCTAATTAGGCTTATTTTTATCCTGTCTTAATATCCCAGAAACAGATAGAGTTATCATTACTACCGGATGCTAATGTAGTACCATCAGGGGAGTAACAGAGCGAATTAACACAACTCGAATGACCATCTAATTTTGCTTTTTATAATCCTATCTTAACATCCCATAAACGTAGATAGACTTATCATAACTACCAGAGGCTAATGTAGTACCATCAGGAGAAAAGCAAACACTATTTATGCAATCTTCATGACCTTCTAATTCAAACTTTTATTGTCCAGTCTTTACATCCCATAAACGAATAGAGTGATCACTACTGCCAGATGTTAATGTAGTACCGTCTGGAGAGAAACAAACTGTATTTACACTATCTTCAAGACCTTTAAATTTTAATATTAATTATCCTGTCTTCACATCCCATAGACGAATAGATTTATCATAGCTACCAGAGGCTAAAGTAGTACCATCAGGAGAGAAACAGACTGTATTGACACAATCTTCATGACCTTCTAATTCTAACATTTTTTATGCTGTCTTTACATTCCATAAACAGATAGAGTTATCATTACTACCAGATGCTAATGTATTACCATCATGAGAGAAACAGACTGCTAGAATTCCATCTGAATGACCATCTAATCTTGCTTTTTATTCTCCTCTCTTAACATCCCATAAACGGATACAATTATCATCACTACCAGAAGCTAATGTAGTACCATTAGGAGAGAAACAGACTGAATTTATAATATCAATATGACCAATTAACTTAGATATTTATTTTCCTGTTTTTAGATTCCTTAAATACACAAATGTACCACTACATGAAGCTAATGTGGTACTATTTTAAGAGAAACTTACTGATTTTAACTCACTTTCTCCGAATAAAAAAGACTTTATTTTTCCTGTTTTAAAATCCCACAATTTAATCGAATTATCAGAACTACAAGATGCTAAAGACTTACCATTTGGTGAAAAACAAACTTTATTGACCTAATCACCATGACCATATAACATGATTTCCTCATCTATACCTATATTTCTCCACTTACAATTGAATAATTTTGCTTAATTCAAATTCATTCCGCTAATAATGATATTTTCAAATTCAGATCCACTTAAGTCGCATCTTATTAAATTTGCTCCTATTAAGGAAGTATTCGAATTCTAATATTCTCAAAACATTATTCTTTCAAATCAACCTTCATATAAACTAATAAATGAAATGAATTTGATCCACACTATATGTATCTCTCATCAAAAGCTGTAAGATGAACTAAAAATCTTAGAAAGATTATGATCTTCTTCTCCCATTATATTTTTATGATAAGCTCCTTTTATATTTCTTCTTTGTCCTTTAACGAATAAGTTTATTAATTAATATCATGATCCTTAACATTATTGAGAATATCTGTTATTCTCTTAATGTTGTTCTTTCTAACTTAGAGCTATTCTTTACCCAATAGTGATGAATTTTCTAACTATAATATTTCTTATGCGACTTGCCTTAGATTTTGATCTTATGAGAGAAATACTAGACAATCTTTAATTTTCTCTCTTTTGAATATTTTGAGGAGAACCTGGAACACTACGTCATCAACCTCTCTAGATTTAGCTAAAACCCCATAAAAATCATCAACCTACTCTATTAAGCAATTCATTTTTTCTTAATAATAATGAATTTTTATCACTTTTATGTTTGTTTTATTCTATAATTCCAAAGCAACTTTGCAAATATCCTTTAAGAAGAAAAACAAACTGTTTAAATATTAGGATTTTGTATGAATGATAGTTTCTTTAAAATATATTATGATTTTTGATTGGGTTGAGAGGTGTTAAAAAGGATATTATTTTTAAGATTTATGAGATTGTAACTTATAACTTTTCATTTATACTAATTTCCAAAATCAAACTTCGTTTAGATTAATTATATTGATCTCAAATCTTAACTTTTTTCATCTTTATATTCACCCTCCAAAGTAGATCTCCTTTGGCTTTGAAATTTGGATTTGGAGAAATTCGAAGAATGATAAACACTAATTATGAGAGATATTTCTAAAAGAGAAAGGGGTTTGAAATTATTGCAGAATTTTTTTTTAACAAATATCTTTATGTAAGTTTTATTGTCCTTCTCACATCCATAAAC